TTGCCCAGGTTGTACAGGTTCTTGGCTAAACCACCCCCAGGCCATCACATCTCCCAATAAAAATGAAGAATATCTACTGACGATATTGGTGAGACCTTGAAGGATTTTAGGCAGGATAGCGGTCTGATTAAACTAGAAATAATGCTCTAGCAGAAAACACAAGATACAGGGAAGAAAGACCTAGCTGGTAAATAACATTTTTTCAAACTTATATAATAGTCCACAGTAAAGTGGTGCCAAATCGCTGGACAAGGGTAAGTAGCTGGGTCCAAACTGACAGAACCATCCAACGGAGACCAGGTGTCTTAGTAAAGACTGAGTTCTCTGTGAATGAGAAACCCCACAATAACACTGTCTTAAAGAGGAAGTTTCTTTCTGTCTCAAGGAAAAGAAACCCAGAGTAGGCAGTCCACAGGGGAGTTGCATGATCACCAGACCCCTGGCTACTTCCAGGTCATAGGTCTTATGTTGCTGCTCTATTACCTTCAGCACATGGTTCCAACCTCATGACACAGCACAGCAGTTGGAGCTCTAGCCATTACCTCTGCATTCCAGATAACAGAAGAGAGGAAAGGTTTAAAAAAAGTCCTGCTTGGCTCAGTGGTTGCGCATCGACCTATGAACCAGGAGGTCACAGGTCAATTCAGGTCTGGGCACATGCCCAGGTTTCAGGCTTGTTCCCCAGAAGGGAGTGTATAGGAGGCAGCCGATCAATGATTCCCTCATCATTGATGTTTCTATCTCTCTCTCCCTCTCCCTTCCTCTCTGAAATCAATCAGTATATGTAAAAAGTCCCTGTTAAGGACACTTCTTACAAGTCCAAAAGTCCCTGTTAAGAACCCTTCCTACAAGGGTCATAATTAACAATTCCTCTTACCTTGGCCAGAACTGCAAAAAAGTCTGGGAAATGTAGTCTTCTGGGAGGCCATGTGTCCTGCTAAACAAGGAGAGTTTTACTACTAAAGATAAAGAAATACAGATGTTGTGGAGACAGCTAATGGTCTTTGCCACACCAGATGTATAACCTGGAGAGAAAAAAGAAGACAGATTATTAAGGAGTAAGTGAAGCATTGGACTAACTTATAGGGTTCTGTACCCCCAAAATTATTCTTTCCCAAACACATCTCTGCTTCTGGCGTCATGCCTGGATTCCTGCTACTATGTCTACCTGGAAAGCTGCCCACCTCACATTTCCATGTTCAATTCATAGCCCCTACTATTTTTCCGATTAAAATCCTGCTCATTCTTCAAGCCCCATTTCAAATGCTATATTGTTATTCCTGAATTCCCTAGACTCTAGGGCCTAGCAGTGGTTCTCAACCTTCCTAATGCCGCAACCCTTTAATACAGTTCCTCATGTTGTGGTGACCCCCAATTTCATTGTTACAAATTGAACATAATTAAAGCATAGTGATTAATCACAAAAACAATATGTAAGTATATATGTGTTTTCCGATGGTCTTAGTTGACCCCTGTGAAAGGTTCGTTCGACCCCCAAAGGGGTCGCGACCCACAGATTGAGAACCGCTGGCCTAGAGGCTAGACCTTGTCTCTTTAGAACTTCATTTATAGTTCTCCTTGGGCCTTGGCCTTCATCTTAACATCATGCCGTCTTAGGTCTTTCTATATAGCTGTGTGCTAGGGAGTAAATTATCCAACAGGTAGGACAGAGCCTTCCCCAACTCTATGCTAGGTAGCTGCAGTGTCCTGGAATGCCCTTAGTATCTGCAAATTGCATTGACTACTTAAAGAAAGGAAAGGTCTGTGTGAAGTAAGAGAAAAATGAAAAGTCTGTGTATCCTTTTAAGGAAAGTGTTAATGCACCAACGGCAACTTCCTGAATTTCCTAAATGTTAATGTATTTCAAAAACATGATCATTGCTAATGTTGTAAACGCTCCTTCGAGGGCTAATTCAGCGCAATCTGCTCCTCATTTCCCATGTTTGGTTGCTTCTCATTTCCCAGATCGTCCTAAAAACTCTTGCTAATGAACAAGAAAAAATAAGTATGAAAATGATCAAAATAAATAAAATAAAGGCCAACCAAAATAATACTACTAGCTAACATGTGACAAATGCTGTCTCTATGCCAAGCTTAGTGCTAAGCACTTCCCCTACATTATCTCATTTCATCTTTTCAACAACCCCATGAGGCAGAGGTATCTCATTTATCTTGAGGGGACTGAGACCCAGAGGGATTAAGTAACTTTTCCAGCTGAGCAGTAGAGCTGGAATACTTCCTGTTCATATAGCCCTCTGAATATATGTACGATTTCCTTTCATAAAACTTTATATAAATCATCTTTTTCATGCTTGATAAAGTCTCCTTTCATATATATGCCCTGATATCATGCTCATTTTATAGAAGCAATGGGAAGCTTCGTTTTTTAAAACTATTCTCAATCCACCATCGCATATGAATAACACTCCTGTTGTTTGTGAACTGCCAATTTTGTACACTATATTTGGGAGTCAGTGGTATCAATTCTATTGCATCATATTTGGCACCCTATATTTGGTAACACCCAGAACACTTTTAGGCCTCAAAAAATGTTTACAACAATCATGTCATGATTTTAGGCCCTATGAAATGGAGGTGTATACAGATGTAAGGTATTGGATTTCACAGTTTGAAATGTTTTTGTTTTCTTTTGTCTATACATTTAGGTATAAGAGTATCCTCCTTATACTCCTTATACCCAAATGTACATCATCTTTTTCTGGTGCTGGAGCCAAATTTGATTATTAGACCACTTTGTACAGAATGGAGCTATCAGCACTCTCCAACGCTCAATTCCTCAACTATTCCCACGCTTTATAAATCTTTCCTTTTCTCTAGAAACCCTTTCAATTCTACATTCAAACATGTTGTTTCCTCTCCCTAAAAAAAATTAAAAAAACACTTTCTCAACATTCCCCTCTATTCCTCTTTTATTTTTCCTTCCCACATTGGCCAAGCATCTTGGCAGAGCAGCCTATGTCCTATTTCCCCTCTTCTCTTTTATTGCTCAACCCACTGCTTGCCGGCATACACCTTCAACTAAACCCGTGGTCGGCAAACTGCGGCTCGTGAGCCACATGCGGCTCTTTGGCCCCCTGAGTGTGGCTCTTCCTAAGCCTTAGGAGGACCCTAATTAAGTTAATAACAATGTACCTACCTATATAGTTTAAGTTTAAAAATTTTGGCTCTCAAAAGAAATTTCAATCGTTGCACTGTTGATATTTGGCTCTGTTGACTAATGAGTTTGCTGACCACTGAACTAAACCATGAAAGTCAATCAAATCGCCATTCTCCTCATCTTCAACCCTTTGACAAATCCAAATGAGACTCTTTACCCTTTATTTTAATGGCTCTCTGGGCTGTATATGACATTGCTGGTTGGCCCTCTCTAGTTTATTTCATGACTTCTTCTTACTCTAGGCCCCACCCCTTTAAAAATTTTTCAGCTTTATCGAGGTATAATTGACAAATAAAATTGAAGGTGATTTGATTGTGAAAGTATTCCCCCAAACTTCCAGCCCTGTTTTATTAAATGCTGGTGTTCTCCCAGCTTCCAACCTCTTTTCACCGCTCTTTACACAGTCCTTGGACTGAACTTATCCCAGGTCATAGTTTCAGCCACCACATTATGTGATGTTTTCATGTCTACTCCAAATATCCCCAGAGCTGTGGAATCATAGACACACCAAGTGGCTCATAAATATCTCCACTTTGATCCCCTTATATTCTCAAACTTCATATTAAACTTAGATCTTTCCTACCTAAATCTGTCCTCCTCTTATAGACTCTCTCATTAATGATCACCCAGCCGTTGGTGCCAAGAACCTGAGAATCACATTAGGCTCCTCCTCAAATCTGAGAATCCATGTATCTAAGTATACCTTCCAGCCCTTCCTTCCTCTCTATCCTTACTACCTTCCTATGTCAGGCCCCCAGCATGTTCTCCCTGGACTATTTTAACAGTTTCTTAACTCTCCTGCCTTTGATTTTTATATCCACTCTCTGAATACTACCAGTGTTCTCTTGATAACATAAATCTGACCATGTCATTCCTCTGCTTAAAATTCTTCAAAGCCCCCCCCCTTCATACATTCAGGATTAAAGGCCCAGCTGCTGAAAGTCCTTTGAGACCCCTGCTCTTCGAGTTTTTCAGTTTCAACTCTGAGGTCCCATCCTAAAGGCAAACCATTCCTCAATCCGTCCTCACCTTTTCTGGAGCTGAGCTGCATGTCCCAGCTCTGCATTCCCCTTGTGGCCAGTGTACACGCATATGACAGGACTCTCTCATTACAGCATCTTGAAACAATCTTCCTAAACTTCTAGGCTGGGAATCAACATTTTGTTTTAGATCTCTGGGGCCTGGAAATGTACATAATAAATACTAACACACACACACACAACGAACCGACAGAATTGAGCTCACTTTTTTGGCAAACCAGCAACAAAACAGATCCTAATGGGTTATTTCTTACACACTGGCTTGTACAACGTTTGTATAAATATTTTCATTTTCAAGCATACGTAAGAGGGAGGAAAAAAAGGGACTTTTGCATCTCCCCGTCGGGGAATCGAACCCCGGTCTCCCGCGTGACAGGCGGGGATACTCACCACTATACTAACGAGGAACTGCACATGGGTGGCACCCTTCTGGTATGCTACTTATTCTGGTTCACCCCGCCCGACTCGCACCATTCATAACAGTCAATAATAAATTTTACTTTTTTTTTTTTTTGCCATTACAGCTTCCACCGAACTTAAACGGAACTAAAAAGAAAGCTGCACTTCTTTCCATCTGCTCCCACTCTCCCACCTCCTTCTCTTCTCCCCCGACCCAGGCGCAATCTGGAACTCCCTTCGCTCCACTGGACACACACACTCCCAGCGTGCAAAGCGCCCGCCTTGTCGCGCTGCATCACCGAACTTGTAGTTTCTTCCCCGCCGTCCTCCACGCTCCTCTGACAGTAAGAAACTTCCTTTCCCGGCAGGCGCCGCGGATCCCTCCTCCAGTTCTTAACCTGCCTCCTGTCGCCTCTCGCTCGCAGTCCAGTTGTCCAGCCGTGTGAGTGTCGGGGTGCCGATCGGGGTGCGACGGGACTCCCCAGAGCCATGCCAGCGGTGGTGGATACGTGCTCCTTGGCCACTCCGGCGTCCGTCTGCCGGACCAAGCATCTGCATCTGCGCTGCAGCGTCGACTTCACTCGCCGGGCGCTGACGGGCACCGCCGCGCTCACGGTCCAGGCTCAGGAGGACAATCTGCGCAGCCTGGTACAGTGGACCGCGCGCCCGGCGCCGGGCGCCCGCCTCCGCCCCGAACCCCGCTGCGGCCCCTTCCCCAGCCCCAACGCCCCCGTCTGCTCCGGCGCGTCCCTCGGGAATCCCCCCGCAGCCCTTGCCCCTTCTTCT